TAAAAATGCAATAAATTAGTACTCATGCCATAAGTGCTCAATTAGTACTAATATTTACTGAAATGAGTACCCGCTAAAATGCCATGAGTACTATTCTATTACTCGGTATATCCCCCTGTGAAATGTGGAAAGATCTTCCAAGACGAGCATTGACTGAACTGAACCGCTAGTTTTGGGATCTGCATATTAACATAAAGATAAAAATTAAATGTGCAATTCTTAGATATTCTTCAAAATAAAGACAGTCAAATTGTAGCATAGAATATCATATTAATTGCCATTCTTTTGTTAGGGAGAATGTCTATTGATAAAGCATAGGAGGAAGTAACTTGCTTTCAGAAACAATTGTTAACATTTTACGAATGACGACATATCCTGGTAGCATTGACAAAGACTAAGAATGTTACTATCACATTCGTAATGTCATCACTTTGGTAATTTAGAGATGGATACCAAAAGACTGTTATCGATATGGCGAACTGAATTGAACACATGTTTATCTTAAACAAGTCATCAACAAATTCTGAAAATTTTACACATTTTGAATGGTAACAATTTAATTTGAAAAATATATGTACTTTTCTCTATATTGTTTTAGAAAGCACATAAACATGAATTCCATGATTAGAGGCCACATTTGCAAAAAATTCAAAGTATCATTCAGAAAACTAGAATAGAAAAAATAAATATTTAGATATATAATCTTTCACCTAAAAATGAGAATACCATTATTTTATCATGGTATTTAAATTTATATATGCGATAAAGTTGCTTGTCATAAACCGGAAGTAGCTGTCTGCAAAAAGACAAGATGGTGGTATAAAGTGTTTTGCATATCTGATTCTTAACATATTATTTATCGATAATCAAACTAATATTCTTTGTTCATTTTGTCTATGAAGTATTTCTGTATCCTATTTGTGGAGTTATATTGGATATCTCAAATGGCAAAAAATAATTTTGTTTTTTGATGTTTGAAAACATGATCAAATCTGAACCTCTCAATTATGCGTTTTGTGATTCCGTCACGAAAAGAGCAAAAAAGTTTGTCAACTTTTTCCAGATAAAGAGATATCCTTTCTTACTAAGGATTTACTTTAGATAACATGTAATGCTCCTTTCTGTGAAGTTTAAGGAACACACGACCTCCTTATCCCTTCAAACTGCTCGTGACGGAATCACATTTAGTCACCCCACAGAGATATGACTGTAACACTTCACAAGGTGCATACAATGAGGGATATGACTATAACGATGATATTTCAAATCATTTACACTGTACTTGATATTACTTGTATGGCCTCAATGGATGAATACAAATTCTAAAGTATTATTAATGCTAGGATCAGTATTGCTGTTTTCTCACGTGGTACTTTGATGAGTGATGAACCAAACGTGACGGAATCACCTAAATTCCCATTGATTTTAACAATGTCACTTTTGACAGGGGAATTCAAAAGAGTTCTACGGTTCCTGATGCCGTACGACCTACACGACGATATATTCGATAATAATATTCCATTGAATAGTTTATCATTGCACATAATGTTAATCGTGATATTTCCTACACGGTTCAAAGTCAACTTCTTTTCATTAGTTTTTGTCTCGTGATTCCATCACGCTTAAAATTGTGATTCCGTCACGGCATAATGATTGCAATATTACAATGCCAGAACACTGTAAAACACATGAACTGGTTTATTTCGTTGAACAATTGTCTTAACGATAGAATTAAGTCAAAACGAGCACTTCAATAGGTCAAAATGAGCAGAAAATGAAAGACGATGGTAGTAGTGGGCATTTTGTGAAAAAGTAAAGGTGATTCCGTCACGGAGGAGAAAAAAGCCCGTAACAATAAAAACAATGTACGCACATTTATATTGACGTTTTTTATAGAAACACAAAACAACTCCGTTTCTAGAAGATCCCATATAAGATCAAGAAACCCCTGTATATTTGACAGATGGCCTTTTAAATGTCGTTTTTTTCGTCAAATGTGTGATTCCGTCACGCTGGAATTCATGTAAGGTATTTCTTTTGTTCTTGGTATCATATGTTCGGAATGAAATGAAACATCTAACCAAACCTCATTGGAACAAAATGACATATACACAACGTGTTTAGGTCTCTCAATATTGTAATTGTACAAAGGAAAGTTTGGTTGGGGTTTTTGTTCTTTATTTTTTGAATACTTTTTTGTTAAATCAACCAAATTTTCCTTTGTATAACCATAATTTTGAGAGGTGTAAGAACATTTTGTTTATACTATTTTGTTTAAACAAGGTTCGGAAATATATTTTATTTCATTTTCAAGAATTGGTAAAAAGGAACAAAAAACAATTGCATTAAAAATAAAAAATAAATTAACAAATATAATTATAAAAAATAAATTTAAATAATTTTGCATTAAATTGTTGTCAATCAGTGACCATTATATAAACGACCGTGTCAATCCATTATCATGTAATGTAATAATTCATCATCAAAATGCTCCATTTCATCAAAGGCAACATATGGTTTACAAATAATGATTATTTGTTCTTCCTGATAATCTACTTAAAGGGATTTAAAGGGAGATATTTGCTCTCATCATTACATATCAAACCAAATTCTAATATTCATTTACCTGAACTATCAAAATTATCTGTTGACTGATTTTTTAAGATGTAATGTACTGTGGTTTAATTGATTATTTCAGAGGCCAGAGCGAAGGGGATTTCGTCCTATATAGGTAGGTATTATAAGTGCTTTCTTTTATATATGTAGTCTAGATGTCATTATAAAAATTTCTGTTAAGCCGCAACATATACCCACTAGGGTGTCCAGCGGCTTGTTTTTTACAGTGTATATTATATAAGAATTATGAAATAAATAAATTGAATTGAATTCAAATATGATATTTCCCGAGGGCCCGTAGGGCAGAGGTAAATATCATACTGTCACGAGTAATAAACCCGCATTCAATCCCAATCAGTAAATACGCTTTTTATCCCATGATATTTGTTAAACTCTCTTCATGAAATCAGTACTTCAAAATCCAGATCTGATTTTGCATGAAACGAAACAAGACTAAAGCTAAAGTATAACATTAACACATCAACATAAAACATAAAAAAAAATACAACAATACATCATGTTCATTATAAAGACAAAGAACATTCGTGTATTGCTCATCAGATTTCAAAATATCGTTTTTACATCAGAACATCATTATAGCACACTACACGACACAAGTAAACGAAATAGGAGCTTTGTTTTGCAAAAATCCCTGCGAGATGAATACCATTTTCGTCAGAGGGATTGGGATATGAATACGGTTTTCGTAAGCGGGATGGGGCGGGACAATGCGATTTTCTTTCAATATCAAAAATATTCCGAATGTAATGGAATGTAGTATAGTTTCATTAGATAATATAAGTTATTCATTGATCGGAGTGGAGTACAGAAAATATTTTGCCCACGAAAGTTTGTATTTCATAAGGCGCTAACCGAGAGAAATACAGACTTTCGAGGCAAAATATTTAATATATTTCACGAGAAATCATCGAACAACGTTTTTATTCCATGATCAGGGAAAACTCAAAAATTACCCCGATGGCTGGCACAAACGTGAAGATCTTATTGTTGTGTAGCTCTGATATTGAATTTTTGACGTGCATCTTTGAATTTGTTAAATGTCAATACTCACAAAATATTTAACCGATCTCTGTCATATTTGTACCACTTGCTATAGCTAGTGACCCTTAATGGGCTACTTTCTAAAATATCTGTAAAGAAACCTTTACTTTAACACTGTTTTGGACTATTATTCAGCCACATTATTAAGATCTGATTTGATTTAAATCATTATTTCAGAGTTGAGAAGAAAGCAGCGGGATGAGAATGAGTTTTTCCTTTTAGTACTTATTTGCAATGTTTACTAGTATTATCTTGTTTTCGACTTTTTCAAAATGCTGGTAATTCTTAACATATCTTACCTTTAATGATCCATCATCATCCTCTCCATTGGCTAAAACATATTCTCCATATACACAGTCTGTATTTTGAAAACCTCCCCCTTTGATCTCATACTATCTTATAATTTTTTTATCAGGACTGTTTGCCTTAAATGGGTGGTTGATTAAGAAACTTTTCGAAGAAAAAAGAACGTTTTGATTCCATTCATAGCACACCTCTTATTTCATCTAATCAAGTAATCTGTTAACGTTTGATAGTCTACTTGAAGGGATTAGAAAGGAATATCCCAGATGCGAGTAGAAATAATCTTTATTTACGTCATTAAAAATTCATACTTCAGTCAAACCATGCCCATGGTCAAACTGCTGTAATATTTGGAATCTACATGTAAAATTACATTTAGAAATGTGGTTTTGAAAAGAGTTTATCAACTTTGAAAATATAATTTTCTTTGGAAATGTGACGTCTAGGTCGGGGAGATTCCCCATAGACCCCGTGTTGTAAAACCACAAAAAGTGAAATATCTTTTCTTGTGTTGGGCAGATAATATTTTCTTTTACTGGACAATTTTAAATTTGTATAAATATCAGATTCATAAGGGTAATATGAAAAGTGAAACACTAAAACTGATGCATATTCAAGTTTAAGGGAATTTTGTAATACCCTGCCATGTTAATTCCCCCGAATCAGCCACCTGGTGGCGAAACCGGTAACTATCTACTCGCATCTGAGCAATTCGAAATATGTGGGCCTCTGGAACTAGTTTCAACAATACATTTTTGCTCTCTCCATTAAGTCAATTTACTTTCACACTTTTTTTAAAATGTCCAATATTTCTAACTCCCTTTCACCGTAGTTCTTTAATTTAACGCAAATCTCCTGACAATAAATGATTTTAACTCGGATTTTTTTGCATTTGAAGTATTTAATTACTTCTATATTTAAAAAGATATCTCGTGTTTTCAGAAAAATCAAATTAAAGTTTTAAAAAGCACAATGATATTTTCCACTCTATTCTCTATTTCTTATATTATAATTTGTATGACGTACATGTACATGTGTACTAATAAAACAATACCCTGTATTATAGAGTATGAGCAATGAATTTATGAGCCTTCATCTTTCGGCAATTCACAATAGTTTATCGAATCACTGTCAAAATGTTAATGACGATCTATCTAAGGCTAGTTTACACGATCTGTAGAATCGTTCATGGTAAATGTTGAAAAATCAAATATAAAATGATAAGTTGTAGATATCATGACAAAATACGGAAAATATCATGTTGAGATTCTTTATATTATGATGAATTTGAAAATGATATAGGATAAAAAACAGTCGCCTTCTTTATGTTGGTTTTTCACAACCAACCCTATATTCTATGAAAAGCAGTATTATGATAATGTATGACTTCTTTAACACTTGATTTTACAAATTCAGAGACAACTATTGAAAGATCTCCTTTGAAGACGAATACGAATTGTAGGCTTACTGTTTCAAAAATTAAATTAAATATTCAAAAACGTTAGTTTCGGGGGTCCATATTAACATGAAGATCAAAATTAAATATTTAATATTTTGGTTCCCGTCGGAAATTATGAAAGATTGCGAAGTTATTGAAACTTGCTTTTTGAAACAAATGAAACAATTTTTTTGCATTATGTCTAATTTATATACCCTGTAATTATACGATTTATAACTAGTATTTTTTGATAAATGTGATTCAATTATGATCAATCTGTTGAGAAGCTTTTCAAGAACCTAGAAACTACAAATAGTTGAGCGTTAATAATTCAAACATGTTTTCCCTTGAATCAATGTCAAAATTAAACTGTTATTTAAACATTCACATTCTGACGCTCTACTTTTCATATTATTAGATTAGATAACCATATATGTATGAAATCAAAGAATAGGCAATTACATAACAAAATGTCACCAACTTGTTGAAATGAAACTGGTACAAAAGTGTGACATGTGTTACAAATGCCAAATGCCGATACCAAACAATGGACATAATACTCACAAAATACATTATTTCTGAGATAAAATTCCATAGATAATTAGACAATGTCATTGCTTAAGATTGTAAGTACTGCTTACATTTCAGCTCATTTAATTGTTGTGTAATGTTTTCAACAAATGATGATGTTGCTGGAATCATATTAATATTGAAAATAATGAATAATCAACTCAATAATGATTCGTTTTTAGAGTTTAATATGTTTATTAAATAGTGAGTTTATAAATATCATTCGCTCTGTAATCTGAACCAAAAGCAAAATCCTGCAAAAGATATCATTTATATGATACACATATATTTCATATTCAAATCAACATTTTCGATAGAAAAATGTCTACATTCAAGTTAAAAAAATTGCTTTCATTTAAACTAGGGATAGTCTAAAGATTTTTGCATTTTCAAAACACCCCGATCCAAATGTTAATGTTAAGCAGATCAAACAGGCTAAACATCAGCAATTAGAGCATTATTCCTGCAGGGCCAAACGCCAATGAGACGTCTGAATTTATACGCAAAATAAGGTCCAACTCTTCAATCAGGAGGGCATGTGTGAGTGCTAAATGAGGTGGGGGATCCCTGTCACGAACAGCCCTATCAATCTCATCTCACCTGTGCTCTATAAGAGCCTGATTAGGTGACTTTGATGCTCATTGTAGCTGCTCCACACATTACCTGCCTTGAGGAAATCGTGGACAATGCAGCTTCCATGCGCAGGAGCATGATTATGCTGCAGCTGGAAGTTAACCCAAACACCATTTTTGCAAGCGGTGATAGATGTTGGTCCAAAAATATACTGCACCTCTCACCCCTGAGATCACGATTGAGACTCACAGACTCACTAAAGAGGTGCATCCCCCTTGGTGAATATCCCACCAAACATGAACAGAACCACTTCCTTGGGCTAATTTTGATAACTAATCCGTTTTGAGCAAAATGGTGGGAATCGGGAAACACACAATTTCGACTAAAAAATGTTATTATTTGTGATACTCCCTAGATCTGCTTGTTGTGAATCAATAGACAAATAACGATACGTTTTGGATGTAAATAATATTATAATACATTTATTAAATTCACAAGTTTGGTGTATAAAACTGATGGGTGGTGGAGGGGAATGGGTGGCACGTTTAATCCTTCAAAGTGTTATTAATAATTCTAGTACAAATAATAAATATAATGTCCATGTGTACTATTAAATCAATATAAACTTAAGTAATACGTAATTATATACTGGCAATTGTAGAAGGACATGCGTTCTACCGAAGCATTTGTTAAAAACTGAGGTATGCATGTATACTGTATATAACCCCGATGAATAGGAGTGTCTACCAGGAACTGTCAATCAAACATTACATATTCATACTATGTGTCACAGACGGTCGCCCCACAAAACTTCTTATCTGGTATAAGAGATAATTTTTAAAAATTATACCCAATAATAAAATCTATAAAATATTCCATATTAATGAGCAACAGTGTACTTGAAGGGATTGGAAAAGAGAAAGACGGGAGCTTGTTTCAACAATTATTGTTTGCTCTCTCCCTTTTTCGAAACGTCCAATATTTCTAACTTCCTTTCATCGCAATTCAAATCTTCTTGCAATAAATGGTTCTAACTCAGACATTTCTGCATTTGAAGTATTCAATTATTTCTTTACTTTGAATAGGTTATCTCATGTTTTCAGAAAAATTATATATGAGCAATGAATTGATGAGTCTTCAGCTTTTGGCAATATACAATATATTTTTTCATATGAACGTCAAACTTGCTAGTGTGTGATTGGTCAAAACCGGATCACACGTAATGAAAGATAAGGCGATATCCACTGGCTATGCCAACATGGCTTATAGACAACCGATGCGCATTTAGCGATATTCACAACTTTCGGAAATTTTCGAAATACATTCATTTTTAGGTTTTAACCTAGTACAGTATATAAATGTATTTATCAGTGAGTAAACACATGAACTAATACTTTTGAGGATATTCAACTTGACAGTTGTATAATAAAACAAATATCTAATTTGCCTATTTTCGAGGAATGTATGTGACACTCACAACATGATTAAGATGCTATTTTGTTTCACATTTATATATTATGTAGATGAATGTAATGAATCATATTTAGGACAACATTTCCAAAGCTCTTTTTATATAACTCTAATCGGTTTGAAAAATATGTAAGATTTGTCAGTGTAAATGATAAGACATTCTCTTAATCCCTAGGTGCTCGCCTTTACCTTACCATTATAGATAAAAATGTTTTCTGGATTTTAAAGCAAAAATAAATACACTGACAGCTACATTGAAATATTATCATATGTAAGAAACGTTCAATAACAAAGTAATGCACACTTTATTGGTACTTTTCATACTTGTTACTTCATTTGTGTAAGTAGTTGTGATGCTAAGCAAATGTTAGAATCCGTGCAATCATATAAATGATACTGCCTCGTGTAGTTTTCAAAACATTGTATCATTACTACCCGCAAATTTGTATTCCTTAAACTTTTCTAATTACCATTTTTCTATTTTATATGTGTAGACTAATGCCTATTTTGTTTTTATATTTGATTATTTACACTCTCATGAAGTTATTTGGGAAAATAAAGGTACCATAAACAATGTATTTGAGATACTGAGCCCAGGTTAATATCTGGTCAAACAAAGAAATGCAGTAGGGTTCACAAGATGCCATATCTTAATTTCTTGAACTTGTTTTTGTTATGAATGCCATCAAAATGAAGGTTTTTGTTTATGTTGTTGGGGTTTATTTTCGACTCAGATTAGTCAGAAATAGCCGGAATGCTCCATTTTGCTTCCTCAATGATGCTTTTAAGCGCCATCTGCGTATCCTTTTTTCTCCTAATGAAGAGTTGTTTAATTGGTGCAATATCGCTTTTAGATGCGATTTGGTAATGTCAGGTAAGTCAAGTGATGCATTTAAAAAATCAATTTCAATTGTATAACCATCGTGATAACACTCCTCCCAACAATTTTGTTTACGATGCAATTCTGCAATCTGAGCATTTCTGAGGTAAAGAGAGTATCAAAAATAAAAAAAACAACCTTACAAAGGGTTTACAATCAAAATAAAATGTATGCTGTATTCACATATTTACATGCATTAAAGTGTTCATTTTAGCTTGGTATGAAAAACGGGAGATCAGGCGTGCGAAGCTATTCAGCAACCCTGAATACTTAGAGGCCTACCAGAAGGCAAGGGAGGAAGGAACACGTGAGGTCTACCATACTCGAGTTATGATCGTTGGGCAATACGGAGTTGGGAAAACTAGTCTGAAAAAGCGTCTCCTGGATGAAGGTTCTACTAGGGAGCACAATTCGACAGATGGCATACAGGTTGACCCATCAGCTTGTTATATTGACATAAGCAATTCAGTCATATGGAAAACTAAAGCAAAAGGTGAGTCAATCACACCTATGTATAGTATGTTCCTTACTTAAGAACGACTAGAAAGAGTTGAGAGTAAGTTTCGATATTCTTTTTGAAAATATTCGTTATATCGGTAAAATATTCTAATGATTCCTGCATTTTTAATAGGTACAACAGATACTACAGGGCGTTCAATAAGTATTGCTAATTTTGCTATAACTTTTGTTCTGTCTGCTTTTACTTCATGAAACCTTCACAACATAAGGTACTTATATCTGACTTTATTCTATGAAAGTTTCAAGACAATCAGTATTTACAAAGTTATGGTTACTAAGGTAACCAGTATCATATATATATGCGGGGCAAATTTCTGACGTCACTTTGGACGACATTTTGAGAGTTGAAAGCATTATTTAATGCCGTTTAACTCTTGGGATAAAAATGCAATGCAGTTATAAATAATCCATTCCAGAGTCACTTCATGATCCATATTAACTTCATGAGGTGCTCAAAATAGGCAGGCACCCTTAGCGTTACCCTGCGTACAGAGTCTAGTTAAACTACACTCTGCCTAGTAGAGACCATATTACAGTTTAGTATCCACGCCCCCACGACGGGTACTGGTGACAGTTTGGGTAATAAATCACTTTTGACCTACGCGCTGACCTTTTCCACCAATCAGCGAGCTTGAAGAAACATACGCCAAACGCGTTCTAATTAAATATGCGCATGTCATTGGTCAATTCTGGGCTCAACGATGATGTCAGAAGGAATGACCATATATAGAATGTCGGTCAAATTTGGCCGACGAACACTGATTGGTGCGGTGAGTTCACAGGTTCATTTTAATTTGAAAAAGTGAAGACGAAACTCTCTTTTAAGAAGTGAAGTCAAACGAATACAAAGGGTACCTTAGCGTCAATGCACAGTTGCTGTCTGGCGACCCACTCGTGGTACACATTTTTGAAGCCACTCTTAAAGTGTGTGGCTAGGGAGGTGTTCACTGCAGACATCAGCTGATTGAGATTCTGGTGCGATATTCCTCTCAGATCTCTTTTCACTGGGGCGAATACAACAAAATCAAATGGGGCCTTATCTTGGAAATATGCTGCGTGGGGCATTGCTTCCATGCCAAGCTCTGTTATTGTATTTAGGAGAATAGAGGATCTGTGAGCAGGGGCGTTATCCTGGTGGACCGTATAGGTCGATATTGCTCTTTGAGGACGTTGAAGTGTGTGGCTAGGGATATGCAGTATTCTAGTGCGATATTCCTCTCACATGTCGTTTCACCGCTGTTAGATAATACATTTAATTCAAACTGACAACATCAAGATTTGACCATATCAACAGTTTTTATTCATCAAAGTGTTTATTTGATGTATAACAACAATTCATCATGTAAACCCTTAAGATTGCCCCGCGTATCCGTGACAATGGTTACCCTAGTTACCATTACTTTGTCACTACTTAGTCGGTTGTCCAAAAATTCGGATAGAATAAGGTTCGATATGTGTTGCTTATGTTGTAAAAGTTTCATGAAGAAATATGCAAGATAACAAAAGTTATAACAAAATTAGCAATACTTATTGAACGCCTGTATATTTGATAATTCTCAATTTTTACATTTAGATAAAACAAGGATTGTGAGGAAAAAACGGGCATGCATTTAATAGATTGCTTGTTTTTATAAATACATGTTGTATTTTTGTAAAGAGTCACATTTGACAATGCCAATACACTATGTCACAATAATTGATGGGAATATGTAAATGTTCATTTTTGAAAGTTGATTGATACTGATCATGAATTATCAATTAATCATCCGATATTTGAAAGCCGCATCGATCCTAATTGTAATTATCAAAAAAGTGAATAAAACTGGAAATTTAAAAATGGAAAGTAAATAAACCACTAGAAGACATTCGATGAGCGTCGACCTCTTGTTGATTTTCAATTACACTCCCCTCCATATGTTTGGCAACCTAAGCTCCCCCATTGAACTTAGTGTTAAAGCCTCTTTACGTTTGGATTTTAATTTACTTAACCTGCGATGAAATTATACTTATAATATCGATGGAAACGTAACTTGACTCTATTTCCAATACCTCCAAATTTTTTCATTTTTTTCCTCAATTACAATAGGTCGACAATTGATTATAAATTTGATGGATTTTCGAAAATCGACATTCCCATGTTAACCAATTGAAAATGGTAGGTTTGCCGCAAGTCAAATGACAGAATGGAGAGGTTAAGCTTTGCATATATAATCGAAACTGAACCTGTACGTATCACTCGACCATATACAAATTCATGTAGCCTTCTCATATAAATAGCCGTTCAAATCCAGTGTTTGTTTAGACTACACCATAGCGTGTAATGATTCTATAGTATGTCATTGATGCGGTTTATAGCTGGTTTTCTAATACATATTTTAAACGAGCTCGTTTCGTAAGATTTTTGGCGCTAAATCATGCATGACATACATCATCGTGTTCAGCAAGAATTCAACTGTGCATCGAAATCAAAATTGACAGCATAGTGTTCAATAGACACGAGTAAAATGGTTCCCGTTGACCCAACGTCAAATTTCAAATCTCCCGTTCTAAACCCGAAACTCTGAAGCTGAAAGAGTATCTGAAGTAGACTAAGCGCGCATAAAATTATGAGCGCTCGATACATTCCTTTGTTAATTTTTGTACTTTGCGTTCACGGTTACGTTGTGAAAAACATCGTTAGCTTAACCTCTCCAATATCCATCCATCCGAGTCCTTGCAAAAAATACAAGTTGCATAAACAATTGAAAATTGCTAGCTTTATTTAACAAAAATGTGAATCGTTTCTTAGGGTTCAACAAAGTAAAAGGTTTTTAAAGTCAAAATTGTTTTTAAAAAAAAACCTGTCATTGAAATAATCCAGCAAGCGAAAAATGGTTTTCAAAATGACTGTGAGGGTCTGTAACTTTAGTATTCATAAAGTAAACTAAACACACAAAAAGTTAGACAATTCAATTTTCTATATAAAAATATTTTTTGTTGAATATATTACTGAATAGATATCCTAATTTCTGATTTGCCCCGAACCCACCGTTATCCATTGGTTAACATGCATGGGAATGACGATTTTCAAAAATCTATCAAATTTATCATCAATTTTTCACCTATTGTATTTGAAGAAAATATTGGGAAAATTTGGAGGAATTGGAAATAAAGTCAAGTTACGTTTTCATTATAGAGATCGAGTCTCTTAAAAACACAATTAAAGTAACCCCCTGATTTTTTCGTGTTATTTGATGTAAAACAAGTTTGTTTATCAACTTACCAATGCTGAGGCTTGAACAAATTTGTTAACAGTATCAATTCGATGATTGTTCCTAGCCATGAATTTCCACTTACATCAATAGAAATTAAAAATAAAATTTAAAAAGCCTGCTCAAATTTGTTCCAGTCCGATTGGCTTTCTTCTTCAGTTTGAACAGATTGGTTTGGTCCAGAAGAGACATATTTATTACTTCTACTGTAAGGGGTTAAAATAAAAATAAATCCCCAAAAAAACATTGTTTTTGTTTTTTGACTTATTGTGTTCAATTTTGACAGTTGATTGTTCCGTTGGTTGTCCTGTTGATTTTCTCAAATACAATATATTGGGCCCCTGGGTTTAAATAACCATTTTAACAACAAACTTTTTCTCACTAGATATCACAGTTTTAAGTTTTAATTAGAATCATTATTTCAGGATTCACATCGAAGGAAGATACAGATGATCCCCAAGATGTATACGACAGTGAAATTGCTAAGAATTTATTGCGTGCTGTCAGAGACAGAGGATCTGGTATGTATCGGCCCCGTATCGGCCTAACCGGCATTAACGCCAAGCCGAGAATTAACCTTTTCCCAACGTGAAAAAATGTCTAGAGTTAATAGCACATGACAACAAAGTGAAAACTTCTTGCACATGTTGTGATATTTTTAGGGGAACATGTTAGAGATACCAGTATAGGTGCTACTTGTACTATTACTCCAGATGACATACCAGATACAATAACAAGCAAGTGTTTAAGGTTAAAAGATGGTAAAAACCAAGTGAGTTCAAAAGGCCTTCATCAATCGAAGATAATTGCAATTACTTTTTGTTACTTAATTAATAATTGAAAATAGTCATTAATAGAAAGTAAACCTCATTTTAGTACGTGATTAATTAATTATAACTGTGATATGTGATGGTCATTTCATTTCTGATCTGTTGTTGTACTTTCACATCCCAGGAGGAAAAGCGGCTAAAATTATCCTTTTGGGACTTTGGTGGACAGCACGTCTTCTACACAACTCACCAGACGTTCTTAACGAACAGAGCCATTTATCTGTTGGTCGTGGACCTATCTAAAGACCTGGATGAGAAAGTTAAGACAATACGACAATCCCGTGATGGACCAAAACCCGACACCGCTGCCCCGGAAAAGGTCAAGGGTGTGTATACTCAGAATGTACAGCATCAATTAATAACTGATTGTTCATTTCGATAATTCCTATTTGGTATTTATAAAAAAACGGGATCGTCTCATTTTCATTTATAGATTACCTCGATTACTGGTTGAACTCAATCCACACTCATGCTGGGAAGTCATCTCCTGAATCTGAATCACTGAGTCCCCCTGTCATCATAGTCGGAACACACAAAGATGCTCTTAATGTGGAAAAGTTAAAGGTCCAAAGATAACTTTATACTACTTTGCGGGTGAAAATCTAGGTTATTTTTCTTGATCATGAAAATCGTTAACCATTAAATAATGAAAAAATGTCAATTGGAAGAATATCATAAACTAGATGGGTGAAATTGAACATACTTCTATTCAAAGACTCAAGATTACAGACTTTTTATCCTGAAAAAAGTCGTCCTCCGATATTTATAACAAAATGAGGAAGAAAAGTATATACATATAATTTAATTAATTTTTTCATCGATTGACTTGGAATCGGGACATTCATAAAACTTAACCTAGTATAAAAATTGATATACAGGGTGTCCAAAAAAGATTCAACAAAAAATATTTTTATATAGAAAATCGAATTGTCTAACTTTTTTGTACACTAAGTGTTTAGTTTATTTGATGAATACTAAATTAACAGCGCTTCAAAGTCATTTTTGAAAATAATGTTTCGCCTCCTGTGTTATTTCAATGGGAAAGGTTTTTTGAAAAACAATTTTGACTTCAAAATTGAAGAAACATATTAATTTTTTGTTTTAATAAAGTTAGCAAATTCAATTTCCTACATGTACCTAACACCCCAGTCACACTTTCTTGCGGTCTATCATTTCTGCGGCCAGTAGCTTTTCTACGCTCGCCGCAGAATTTCTGCGCTCTTATACTTTTGCAGTCACATTTCCCACGGCAGCCGCAAGGTGAATTTTAAATTTCTATTGATAAATAATAGTTTTTTTTCATTTTATTTACATCAGGACAATTTATAAATGTTATTCAAAGTGCTAGGATGTAATATCAAATGAAAAGTGATCGTGAAACATTGACAAATAATGATTCAATCTTGTTGAGCCAGTTGATTTCTACGGGGACCTCAGAAATGAACAAATATTATAACTCCGAGTTATAATTTCTACGCCTTCCCTGCGGCCTGTAAAAATCTGCATACGCCGTACGGAGGCCGCAAGGCGAGCGTAGTTTTTCTTCGCTCGCCGCAGAAATTCACCGATTTAATTGTTCTGCGGTCGACTTGCGGCCGCAGTGCGACAAATGTGACTGGGGTGTAACACCCCAGTCACATTTGTCGCACACATTTGTCGCTGGCCGCAGAAATGATAGGCCGCACGGCGGACGCAGGAAATGTGACTGGGGTGTAAGTCGTATTTTTTGCAAGGACTCGTATGGATGGATATTCTGTCATATGATTTGCGGCAAACCTACCATTTCCTTTTGGTTAACATGGGAATGTCGATTTTCAAAAATTCATCAAATTTATCGTCAATTTTCGACTTATTGTAATTGAGGAAAAAAATTGAAAAAATTTGGAGGTATTGGAAATAAAGTCAAATTACGCTTTCATCGATAGTATTAGTATTTTCATCGCAGGTTAAGTAAATAAAAGTCAAAGGTAAAGGGGCTTTAACACGTAGTTCAATGGGGGAGAAAAGGTTGCCAAACTTATTTAGGGGAGTGTATTCCAGATTTCACATTACAGTGCTGTCAACCGACCCGCGACGAGCGTGATTTACCCGCAACTTTTATCAAAATTTGACCAATTTTCGGGACACGAGAATTTTGGTAAATGTCCAGCAAATGTATGTGAATGTCATTTTGTTAATGGTCCCGAAATATCCAAATCATGCAAAGTTAGGTAAATGTCCCTCAAATCGCGCAAATTTTGATACTGGTGAATGTACTGCGAAATTTCGCGAATCTGGTATAAAAATCTGTCCCACAAGAACATCTTCGGGAAGAATCTTTTTTGCCAAAGGACCTTAGAAACCTGTTAATGCAACGTATATATTCCTGCCGGACAAAATGGAGTCAATAATTTGGTGAAATGGAAAAGTATTAGAACGTTATGAAATTCATCTATGACTTTTGGTTGACTACACTAAATCATCTCTAAATTATTTTCAGACCGATCAGTACATAAACAACTATTTTCGCCATATAGAAAAGAACTTCCACGGCAAAATCTACTTTCATCACGTTCACAAACCATACATCGCAGTCGATAACAATTCCGATGACGACCAAGAGTTAAACGAACTTAAGGAGACAATCGTGCAGCTCGCAGAAGGTCAAGGATTCTGGGGGCAGGAGGTACCTGTTAAATGGTTGCTTCTTGAGAAAAATCTGCGTGGATTAAAAGTAAAATCCCAAGGTGGAGCACAAGTGCATTTCCTTAAGTTTGAAGAAGTCAAAGCGATTGGTTTGAAAGAAGGAATGGACAAGGCATCTGTCACAGCTTGCCTTGAATTTTATCATTCAGTCGGAGACATGATTTTCTTCAATGAAAGCAGCCTCAGTGATCTAGTTATCCTTGATCCTCAGTGGCTCATCGATGTATTCAAGAGTATTATAACAGTTCCCGAGTTCCATCGAGACTCGAGAGGACGGAACATCTTTGGCAGCACCGTCTGGGAGAAACTGGATAAAGATGGTGTGCTTAAGGAAGAATTTATTGAAACCGTGTGGAAGAAGCTTTACGCTGATATATCGATTCATAGCGACGTACTGATCGAACTCATGCAGCGTTTTGACTTGATCTGTCCATTTGAAAATAACCAGGAAAGTAATCAAGGGAAAAGACAATTCTTTGTGCCTTGTTTGCTTCCCAAGCCAGAGCCCGGTGATTTCATTAGAGACAAACCATTAGTTGGTGGCACGCTTTTCTACAAATTCACCTTTCTCCCCAAAGGGCTATTTCATAGGCTAGTCGCCAAAATCTGCCTGAAAAATATATGGCCTTTATATGGCAATGTGTTCTTTGATTATGGTAGGTTTGAAGTTGGTGATGGCTGTTGTGTATTAACACTTTTAGCTGAAGACAATCACCTAGATTTGAAAATCCACCAAACATTGGAAGAAAGAACGGATCAGGAGAACAACGCTATGTGTATCAAAATCCGCGAGGACATCGAGGCAATGCTGAGGACAACCATAAAGAACTATTGTCCAAATGTCGACCCTGAGATATCTGTAAGGTGTAATTGTCCGAATGTGCAAGAGGAAAAGCGAACTTTAGTGCCTATTTCAGAGAAGGATATTAATCGTGGTTACAAACAATGTAAATCTCACCACCATCCGATAAAACTGGATCAATATAAACTATGGTACAACACTGCACACATGGTAGGCATATTTTTGCATAATATGATAGATTGTTTTAGCTCAGTTATGGTATTATAAAGTACTAAATTGCCCGTTTGAGATACTCGGATCGTCTAGCCTTGCATTACTCCCAAATTATGACTAAATGCGTACACTTTGTTTTCATGCACAACAATTGTCTTAATTCTATAGGATATGCAAAAGAAACGCTCTTGTTTCTATTTCGCGATATTTTTTAATAATGCCTGGATCTTAAAACATTTCCGATAGTGATGCAGAAATAAATATTGCAATCTTACTAAAATGGGATGAATGAATCTTTAAAAGGTTTCTGAATAAGGCAGATTATTATAACAGAAAATTCTAAGAAGAGTTCTAAGGATAATACTTGTTTCAAATAAATGTACAAGAATGACATCTTATACAATCTCCCAGAAAGACACATAGGAAGTTGAAGATTAAGGTGTCCTGAGTATATTTATCACAAATAATGATATTCGGGATAAAGTGAAGCCCTCCGTTCATCCGTCCGTCCTTCCAGAATAGTGGACGGATTTTCTTCATATTTTGTGAAAAGATGTACATATTGGTATATAGTTTTTTCAAGATGGCCGCTGCTTTAAAAATCGCGGGAACTTTTTGCGAAAATCTATGTTTTTCATTTTAAACCAAGTAATAAATATTTTTATCTAAAATCTTAGTAGTATATTCACAACATCTATCTATTTCACCCTGGCCCATAAGGACCATGTCTTGGGGGGGAGGGGGGTCGGGAAAACAGGAATTTTGGCTTTCTGAAGTATAGCTTTGTTATACTCAAATGAAAGGCAATTAAGAGTCGATTCTTTTTCTGATTCAAGCCTCGTGTAATTCAAAATGGTCGCCTAATGTGATTGTGGGCTTTAATTACTTGATTTTATCATATTTTTTTATTACTTTCTAGGAATACTCCTGGACTACTTTGTACAAATTTTTAATGAATTTAGTTTATCAATCGCTGAGAAAATACTTGTCAAAAGTGTCTTACTTTCTTTGTGACACCCGGCCAGATATCAGGTCTCAAATATTGTCTTAAATTATGATTTGTGCCTTTGAATGGTCACCCAAATGCTTTCAGTGGAAATTCTGACATATCTCTAATGTACGTCTTTTAATATCAGTCAATAACTTAACCAAGCGTGGAGTAGCTGGTAAATATTATATTGTGACAGATACAGATTCATGAATATAGTATTCGTTGGGATTTACTACTCCTTGGAGTTGCAGATTTCTAAGAAGTACCATGAGACAAATAGGCTAAAGAATGAATTCGGTAATCAAAAAATTGGTAATTAGGGAAATTTGTCTGTACAGAAAAAAAATTCTTATATCTTTTAGGTAAGGACGATCAGTAAGGTTCTAAATAGATTGACGTCCATATGGTTCCAATATACGGAACAAAACTAAAATTGTATCGTACGTATTTTACCTTGAAATTGGGTATTTGGATTCGCACCTTTATTGACTGTCAGCATTACTCATTTAAAAACCTAAATTTTATGTCTAACAACAAAGCAATCAAATAGAAACAATAAGATATGAATACATTAACTTCAAAATACAAATATATACAATCAACTATTGGCTTTATTCCCCTATGCCTCAAAGAATGATCATTAAAAATTAATAGCGAAGTCACTCACTAACGATGAGAAACAGGCGAAATGCAAACTAAGCGAATCCGAAGTAAGTGAATAGGAATAAAAATCTAAACGTATGTGATGTGTATTCCTAATAAAATTGGCTTTTTGTACCATGCACGATACATGTTCTCGTCTTTCTCGAGTAACTGTCGTCTACCCTTACTTTTTAACTACCTCTTTTAGGTTTTTTCAACACTTCCTTCTAAGGGTACCAAACATTACGGTATTAAAATTTTGCATTGGTGTTGTCATCGAGATTTATAATAGTAATGCACAAATAATTATCATTTTAGTTGTTTCCCTTTTGTGCCAAGGGAGCGAGAGTGTTATCAGTAGTTTGCATTACACACCCTTGTAAATATACGCCAAATTGTACGCTAAATTGTAATTTTTCTACGTCAATCATACATTAGTTGAGATCTAGTTAATTAAGCAGAGGTGTATAATTCATGAAAGCATACACCAATACAATTGTCTAAATATGCCTTACTTTCAGGAGAATCAGCTCCCTATACCAATGCTTCATCGCCCACAGGCCGCTGTTTAATTATCAACAATTTCGACTTCTACCCGAGAATGCCGAACCGTTATGGCACAGTACACGATGTCGATAGACTAAAACGAGTGTTTACAAGATTCAAGTATATAGTATGTGTTAAGAATGATCTGACTGCTGGAGCTATTAGAAAAACATTGACTGAAGAAAGTACTCAAGATCATGCTGACTCTTTCGTTCTGGTGATTCTCTCTCATGGTGCTGTAGATGCTGTCTATGGGGTAGATGGAAAAACAGTACCGTACAAAGAGATATACAACTACTTCAATGGAGAAAACTGCAAGAAACTAGCTGGCAAACCCAAAATCATCATATTCCAAGCTTGTCAAAGCAGTAAGTATTGTTATGGATATTAGTTAAAAGCTCCAAATATGGCAAGTTATACATATTGTGTAACTACCACAACGTGAAACACTATTTTCTAAGCACTACTAAGAAAGAATACTTAATGTCTTATCCATAAGTAATAAGCACTACTAACTACTAATTCTCAGGAATAAAAAGTTCACACTTATCATACCTATTGAGAGATAAATATTGCTTATCCTCGGCCCAGGTACGTCTTATCCGTGTGTCATGTGACTACTGCGTTAATTAACTAAGTAAAGCATTTCAATTTAAGTGTAGTATGTTTGCATGCAGCAAGCATTTAATCATTTTTGATTTTTGATTAAAAATAACTCCTTTGGATCAAATATTTAAATTCTACTAGAGTGCGTGGAGTGGAAACAAGTCTTCATTCAAGCACTAAATATCAAAAGGAAGATTTCAGGACCCCTTAACTTCACTCCCGGACTTTTCTATTCAACACCACCCATCCCCCTTCCCCAATTATCCCTAATGATCCCAGAATGTTCGTTTCTGTGCCCCCTGTCCATGGCCAGTAATTAATCTATGTGTATATTGTCTCCCTCCAAAAGCTAGGAAAAACCAGATGCAGACATAAACATTGACAAGGTGAGGGGATTTAAATATAAAAATAGTCTTGTTTTTGGCTCTGACTTAAATATCTTGACACTGTTTAACGAAGCCGGTTTAAGGAATGAGAGGCAGAAATAATTCCTAGATGATCTTTCTTTACTGTAATTAAGATGCTACTTAACCGCAATTTTAAAAGGGATTAAGTTATTTACCTTGTGATAATTTAATACTACTTATTGATTGGTTTGCCAAATAGAATACCCCGTATAAGACCCTTGTCTCTGATTGTAAAACATCTGTATGCACCAAATCCGAGGAATATTACATTATGTGAAACAATTCCAAAAAGTTTTGTCTTGAACTCAATCAAATAGCAATATATTTCAACATGTAGAAATTATTTATTAACATAATGTCGGGCACTATAGGTTAAAGGGTTTTCAGTTTTGCTCTTTTTGTGTCACGCTTGAATTGTGTGCTTTATTTATTTGGGATTTGAATTTGGAAAGGTGAATTCACGATCAATAAAGTTTATAATATCATTTATTAACCAAAACATGGAGGCAAAGCCACCTTTCAAACACAACACATCATCTATTATGCATGTCCATTTGTAGCAATCACAGGGCCCATACCACTAGGGGTATGTAGATGTTAATGAATGGGAATTTTTCATCTTTTTATTTTTATGTTTTCATTAAACAGCCAGAAAAAAACTATTTTTCATTTCCCAAAGAATTTAAAATGTATCTAATATATTATACAATCAGACAGACTGGCTATTCTAATCCGTTATGAAAGGCCATTTGTTTTTTTCCACTACAGGATGTTTCTTCAGAAGTTAATTAATTGTTTATCTTAGTGTTTAGATGCATTGTCCCTTGACGCTTTCATGAAATAAATGAACTTTGTGATGGACTACAATTGTATATTTTTACAGGAACAGTTATTTTTATCACCAAAGTAGAGCACTTGTTACATTATTTTCATTTTAGGTCTCTCTTATTAGTTGCGTTGCAGAAGTCTAATATTATTCTCTCCGTGTGCCGAATGTACTTATACCCGTAGCCAAGGGGTGGGGGTGGTTCAAGGAGTGCGAGAATTCGAATTGAATACAAAATAAATACGTAACATATAAATATGTAAGTACATAATGTCTAGCCAAGTCTTCTTGCATTTTCTGAACTTCAAATGCGCCTTTTGATGTGTGGTAACAAAATACTAAATAAATATTTATGTTACTCCAGCTTACTCATATTAATTTGGCAATAAAACATGTATAAAGTGATAGCAAATTGTGCACAACCCCAATCCCTTCCCCGATCGGGTCGCGTTTACTATGTATGTTATAATGTATAAAAGTAATTTGTAATAAAGACAATAATGCCCCCCCCCCCTATTGCAACCATCTTCGTTCACTCGGCTCCCGTCGATGAACACAGTTAAGACCGAGCGTGCGATGTATTGCAACATTTTGTCAATTAATGGCATTGGCCCGGGGTATCAACACACATTTGATTGAAATAATTCAAACCAAAGTTCCAAATGAATAAAGAACGTGAAGGTTCTGTTTGACATTCGAACAAAAATTTATCCAGTCAAAAATAGATTTCTAATATTTGATCTTGATTAGATGTATTTATTGATCCTTAATTAAAACTACAGATGGTTCACTCAATTCCGAATAAACAAAAAATAATCCTATACACGTTTACTTGGTTCTCATGATACTGCCTATAACCTATAATACTCATGTATCAAAACAAATATTAATTAATCCGTCTGTGTGATTGTTCCCTGACTCAAACTAAGCGAACCCCGATTTCAGTTCTAAATAATATTTCACTTGAAACGATTTAGCCAACATGATACAATATGACATTTGATTAATCATACATGTATAAAGCCAATTATTATCAAAACCCATAAATGCTCACAATATAAATATAGTTTTATTGATGGCCAATAACAGATATCAGGGGCGTAGCCAGCTTTCAGTCAGGGGGGGGGGTGCGATCGCCAAAAAGATTTCGGGTTTCAGTCGGGGGGGGGGGGGGTGCGATTGTGATATAATCGGGGGGTGCGATTGTGACATAAACCAGCCAAAAAATGATTTTTATATTGAATTTTACAAAATTAGATGCAACTTCATTCCAAATTGAGCTAGAAGCTTCAAATAAAAAGCTTTAAAGTTATTTTTCTCCTCTTTCTCAGGGTCTTATTCTTATTCGCAACCCTCCCCCCTGGCTAAGCCTATGGATATTTAGACAAGTTTCAAATAAATAACCTAGCAACCAACCGCGCAAGCAACCAAGCAAGCAAGCAAACGACCATCAAAGCAAGCAGGAAACTAAGCAACCAAGGAAGCAACTAAGCAACAAAGAAAGAATGTAAGCAAGTTAACAGTCAATCAAGCAATCAATCGTGCAAATAAGCAAGCAAACAAACAATCTACCATCCAAGCAACTAATTAACATAATTCAATAAGATTAAAATTAAACCTTGCGCACATTTTCTCTACGGGGGTCGTACGGCGGCCGGAGCTTCAAAAAACTAGATACACGTTGAAAGTTCCAAAGTGCTTAATTTTGGTTATGTTTAAGATGAAACTTTTCAGATTTGCTTCACTTAATGCATATCCCCAGGATTTCAAAATACGATACACATGTATGTATTACAATTGGAGACAAAGGACGATTCTCGGTTTGGAGAACGAAGTTCATCAATCTAAATGAGCATTATCCCTGCTTCGGACAAATTTGATTTTTTTACATAACATAGATTTGAATGTCTTCTTTTGGATAGTCATAATTTAATTTGGGTAATATATCTAGATTTTTCGCAAAAAAATATTAGCGCAGTACACTGATGAACTTCTTTCCCCAAATCGAGACTTGTATTTTATTGAATCGGTCTAATTGAGCGTTATCCCTGCTTCAGACCAATTTGTTATTTTTACATCTTGTAGATTTAAATGTCCTCTTTTGAATATTCATAGTTTAATTTGGGTAATATTTCTATATTTTTCATGAAAAAAATATAAGCCCAGGAGACTGTTCTCCAAACCGAGAATCGTCCTTTCTAATACTTGTCCAATCAATCAGTGATATCAATTTCATTGTTTTCATAACTGGGAATGTTTAACTTGATTACAGGAGATCGGCTAGGAATTGTTTTTCAGGCTGAGATTCGAAGAGGCACTTTTAATTAACGCCTCCTTAAGAATTGAGTAATATAGAGCTATCATATTGATTACATTTATCAATCACAGAAATGAAACACATTGGAGCATACATGAAGTTAAATAATTGGGGATGGGAGGGGGGTAGTGAACACACGGGATACTGAATTCTTCCTCTTAAACATAAACTTAAACGTCAGTGCCTTAATGAAGGCTTCCCCCGGGGCTTCCCTTTAACAGATTTAGGGAGTTTTACAACTAGTTTTACTGAAACTGAAGATTTTCAATTGACATCTTATTATAATACACTGGATATTATGTAAAAGTATTGATGTGTATTTCGTACTCCTGACAATCGAATTTCATATCAAACATTTGCAATATAGTTTTACAGTGGTATTAATTAAAGTGTTATTGCTTCAATAAATGCAACACATTTACCAGATTTTAGATTGGACTTTCTACACGATGATAAAATATTTTGGTGATATTCTTTTCGATAAACCCAATCACAAATCTCATGGCATCGACTTTATTAATCATACATGTATCTGCACATGTGAAAATGATCTTGCATGTAGAAATTTCATTATATGTAACCCCCCACAGCTCCCTCCCGACCTGTAGGATTAAAATGGAATAAGTGATCGATCATTGATCTGATAAGCCACTTATATGCAAGATTATTAATTTTAAAAATAGACCAACTTGATATTGTTTAAAGTTAGTTTTAACATATTTTCCATCGATATACGGTAGCATAAAAATAAACATGTGACTGTTTCCAGGGGCTGTTTGGCATTTTGAAGACAATCCTTTTGTTTCTTGTCACTTTTTAATGTGTTAATATTCAGCATTAAGTGTTAACGTTCGGCGGTTGGGATTTGGCGTTTGTTAAAAATCGCAGGTCGTTCATTGCATCACTTGAAATATGTCGAGTCGGGGTTTGATTTTGCAAGTATAAGGGTATCATTTTCAGCAGAGATTATTATTTAAGACTTCATTATTTTTCTAATCCTCATTACATGAACTTTAGATTAAACAAATGATCAAAGGATGGCTTTTTGCACCACTGTTGAATCGGGGAATGATTGTGCAGCAAATCTTGAGCATTCACCAACAAATGCGCGATTACCATTTTGTTTTACATGTAAATCATACTAGTTATTCAAGACCCTGTACAATCCACTTTAACAACTGTCAGGAGGGCTTGTAACTCGATTTAATCATG